GCCTCCCGAGTGCTGGGATTAAAGGCATGTGCCACCAATGCCCGGCTGGCCCCAGTATATTTATGACCAAAAATGATGGTTCAACTGCCTGTTGAAGTAAGCATGATATATGCAAAGTAACACTTATGAAGGAATCTCCGGTAAGTGACGTCAGCAAGGAAAAGAAAGCCAGGACAGTGCACCCGAACCAAAGGGGCTAATTGTGAAAGGCATGGAGAGGAATGTGTATGAAGAGCCACCTCTTTCTGTCACCTACTGTAGTGGAGGACATGGTGATTGTGATGGACATGGTGACAGCTGACAAGGGCCCAGAACACAGGTTCAGCAGTGCAGAGTGACCTTGCTAAGCTCTTGCTCTTGTGATCTTTGTCAGTTTATTTCACAAAATGTCTGAAGGAGATTTTTGTATTTGGTAAATCTCTTCTGAACTTAACGTCCCTCTCTCTCTGTCCCATACTCTGCTTCCTTCTCTTTAGCTAAATTACAAAGCCAAACACGAAAGTGAAAAATTCAAGTGTCATTTACCTCCGGATGCTCCTGCCTTTATCCAACACAGAGTCAATGCTTATAACCTGAGTGACGTAAGTGCCTTGTGGACTGCACTATATGGGTGGCACACTGACAGCTGTGCACCTAATTTGGGGTTACGTCATTATAATTCAATGACTACTTCAATGTTGAAGATAGGAAGAACCCTTAACATTTGTGTCATGTTTCTACCTTCCTGTCAATGTACCTTTAAGCTGGCCTTGCTAATCCCTACTGCCTCTGTATAGTCATTTTGTAAGTAGCTTCATTCAGTTGCTAGTAACATTAATATTTTCTAACCAGCCTCTAAAATGTCATTGTGTATTTCATTGTAAATCTTCATGTTAGATCTGTTAGCAACATTTATATATACTATGCCATAATTCAATTTTCCTAGTATATGATCTTTACTAGAAATGGTTTCCTTTATTCCCCAGGTCTACAATGTCCCTTTTTTCACACGAATTAGACTTGTTTCTCTATGTAAGAAAGCTTATGTTAAAGATAACACAGGAACTAAAGGGAAGAAGGTCATGAACCCATTGCCAGCTTTCATTGTCCAAATTTAATTCTATAGAGAAGTTAAATTACCATCTTAACTTCAAAAATTCCCATAACAAGTACTGTGATTATCCAGAATGGGTGGGCAGTAGAATGATTCATGAAATGACCTCTGAGTAGACTTAAAGGACAAATGAAAGTGATGCCTAAAACCACCAAAAGTAGGCTAAGTGCAAATGTTTGTACCACTCTCTACTATTTAGTTCGGGACTCAGCTACTAGTGTGACCTCTGGAATTGAGCTAATTTTAAAGATTCTGATGGAGAACAAGAGGCCTATGCTTCGAATTAGAAGTTCCATCTTAAAGAGAATCACCTTAAAGATGTATAATATCCTAGACCATGAATAGGGTCCATTTATTTTTTGTTAAGAATAAAATGATGAGTTAGCCTTAGTCTTTAAATGTGATTATAGGCATTTCACCTTTGCTAATTCCTTTCCCAGAATGTCTACAAGCAAGACTGGGAGAAGAGCAAAGCTAAGAAGTTTGACATCAAGGTGGATGCCATTCCCCTGCTGGCAGCCAAAGCCAACAGCAAGAATGCCAGCGATGTGAGTGTGGCCCTGGGCTGGGCTGCTGGCTTGGGATGTCCCTGCTGATCAGTTAGCATGTGTGATGTCCTTGCAGGTGATGTACAAGAAGGACTATGAGAAGAGCAAAGGCAAGATGATTGGTGCCCTCAGTATCAATGATGACCCCAAGATGCTGCACTCCCTGAAGACAGCCAAAAACCAGAGTGATGTAAGTATCTTGGCAAAACCACTTTGTTTTGATATGAGTACCCAAATAATTAATATAACTTTGGATTGGATGTCAACCTACACTCAAATCTCTGATTGAGATTAAATGTGAAGAGGCATATGGTGAGCTTCGATTCACTATTTGTGATGTCACTCTTCTCTGGGAAGCTTGCTTTTTTGATCTTCTCTATGCCTTTGTTTCATAAGGAGGAAACAATCCCTACAAACACTTTTCTTTATTCCCAGAAGTGGGCTAAATATATTAGTATACACAGTGTTCCTAGAATCAGTGTGGAAGTGCACTCACTCAATGCCCTGAACTAAGGCGTTTGCAAAGATATGAAGAAAATGAAAAGCAAGAAGTGAGAAGACCAACTGAGAAACAAAGTAGGAAAAATAGATGAAACATGAATGCAAAAGCAAGATGTTTCAGTTTAAGAATTTTATAAAATGTTGGTTTCATTTAGTTTTTTTTTTGTTTTTTTGCCCCCCCCCAGACAGGGTTTCTCTGTATTGCTTTGGAGGTTGTCCTGGAACTTGCTCTGTAGACCAGGCTAGCCTGAAAGTCACAGAGATTCACCTGTCTCTGCCTCCCGAGTGCTGGGATTAAAGGCGTGCGCCACCAATACCTGGCTCATTTTGAAAACTTTAATTCTTACTTTAAAGAAATCTACTGGGACTGCCTTTGCAATTCCTAATAAGAAAATTTTCCTATATTTCATATCATTTATAAGTATCCCTGCTCTTATTGAGCATATTTTGAAGTTTTTATGAGAGAATTAAAAGGGGATGTGAAGAAACATATAATGGATACACCCATTAAAGGACCAAAACCCCTAAAAACCATCATTCGAGGACAAGCGCTATAAAGAAAATGTAAGGTTATGGGGAATTGTAGGGTATGATGAAATGTGTTTGCAGCAAGCAGTGAGCTGGTGACCTTTGTGGGACTACTTGTATCCTCGGGCCCTTCTTAGGCCTCAAGGCTTATTTTACTCCAGCTTTTTAAGTAATCCCTGTTCTGCAAGCACATGAAAATGGGGCAGTTATTTCAAGGCAGAACTCTCTTGAGTGACAGCATTCATGTGCTGTCTCTTTCAGTCTGAGCAATTGTGAGATAGGTAATATGAACACTTGCCATTATCAGCATCTGATATAAGACATGAGCCTCAAGGCTGTCCTATCATCATGGTAGAAGAAAACTTAACAATCTCATCCCAGTGTTTCAAGTCCAACAATGACATTGATGGCAGTTAGTATGTGAGGTATATTTTTCTTAGCTCAATTTTCTTTTCTTTCTTTAACAGAGACTATACAGGGAAAATTATGAGAAGACAAAGGCCAAGAGTATGAATTATTGTGAGACCCCTAAGTATCAACTTGACACCCTTCTGAAGAACTTCAGTGAGGTGTGGGAGGCCATGCCCACCTCTTGGGTGGGAAGGGCTTTCCTGCCCATTGAAAAATCATTGTTAACATTAAGTATTGTATTTTCTTTATTAGGCTAAATACAAGGATTCATACGTAAAGAATATTTTGGGTCACTATGTTGGCAGCTTTGAGGACCCATACCATACACACTGTATGAAAGTCTCAGCTCAAAACAGTGATGTAAGTTTAGAACCAGGACCTTGGGTCTGCAATGACACTGATTAGGAGCAACAGCATCCTGATTTGTTTTGTCCTTGTGCATTTTAGAAGAGTTACAAAGCAGAGTATGAAGAAGATAAAGGGCGATGCTATTTCCCTCAGACAATAACTCAAGAATATGAAGCTATCAAGAAGTTGGACCAGTGTAAAGACGTAAGACAGCTGCCCCAGTTCTTCAAATTGGGTGTGGGATGCTTGTGACATCTAGTGGTACATTTCACAGGAGTTTAAATGCTATCACCTAGTGGTCAGGATGCAGTATTTTATTTAAATTTGGCTTTGGGGGTGGGATTGGAGACGGCAAAAATTACTAGGAAGAAGTCCATTGTCCATGAATCCTTCCAGATTTTATGTCTTTATTTTCATTAGTTTGTACGGCTATAAATTCAGGGGAAAAGGAAACTATCCAGATTTGTCAATAATCAGGGTGTTCATTGCTCAACAAAGTGACATCGGGGGCTAGCATGAACCAGGCATTGTCCTTGGTACTGGGGACTAGGGGACCAGGAAGTTCCATTGGAGTGGAAGAAATAGGCGGTGAAAAAGCAAGTCTGTTCTGCCATGCCAAGATCAGGGCCAGAGAAACATCGGGGGCTAGCATGAACCAGGCATTGTCCTTGGTACTGGGGACTAGGGGACCAGGAAGTTCCATTGGAGTGGAAGAGACAGGCGGTGAAAAAGCAGCACAATATAAGGGGGTGATTCAAAGTTAGACGAGGGTGATCTGCAGAGACGAGGGTGATCTGAAGAGACGGGGGTCCAGGCAATCTGAGGCAAGTCTGTTCTGCCATGCCAAGATCAGGGCCAGAGAAACAGAGAATAGTCTCAAGAGAGAAAGAGACATTGAAAGGAGACATGGCTGGGATGTGCTGGGGAGGAAGGGAAGGTGGAACCTGCAGAACTCATAACTCAAAGCCCAGCCCCAACTGATCACAAGATTCAGTACAGAGGCATGCTAGCACTTGGAAGTCTGAGCTGCTTAGATGCAGAGGAAACCTCAATGATTTCTCAGCCTTTTGGCTAATATCAAGTGTAGAAAAATGAGGAGTCAGGGAGAAGGGGGGTGAGGCAGAAAAGAATTGGAGGAAAGCAATGTAATTATATTTTAGTAAAAAGCTAAACATCCACAGCATAACATTGGGAGGAGGAGAGATAAAAGAAGGTAAAGAGAAAGAAAGAAGATGAGGAAGTAACATTGAACCAATCTTTCAGAACTAAAGAAAGCAAAGTTTTGGGTGTAAACTTCCCATGCATTGGTGTGGGACGCACAGGAATAGATTACTGTGTGAAATGTTGGTGAAGGCTGTCTTCTCTTCCAGCATACCTACAAAGTGCACCCTGATAAGACCAAATTCACAGCTGTCACTGACACTCCTGTGCTGTTGCAAGCCCAGCTCAACACCAAACAGCTCAGTGATGTAAGTGTCCTGACTCATATGGGAGGGGAGACCCAGGGGTGTCTTACTGAAAATCTCAGTGTCTTCCAGGATTCATCTGCCCGGTCATTAATGGCATGTTTCAGATTTTCTTAATAAAAGGCAAATGAAGCTGCTAGATCAAACTGTAGCCCCCAGCAAACTGTTACACAGCAATGCAGTAACTAATTTTAATAATTCCTTGATTTTTCATAGGATTGCCTTACTTATTAAAATGTGTCCCCACACACACTAGAACTCTGTGCCACTTAAGAAAATAGTAGCAGTGGAGGCTTCCATTTGACAGGCGGAAAGGGAAGCATTCCTGTTCTGGTGAGGTCCCAGAGACTTTACAAAGCACAGAGAGGTACACTTACAACAAAGCATCACTCTAGGCAGTAACCATAACAGAGTTAAAATACGGGGCCACTGAGATGACTCAGTGAGTGCTTGTCACTAAGTCTGATGACCTGAGTTTGATCACTGCTCTTCTTCTCATGGTGGGAGTAGAGAACTGACTTCTAAAAATAGTCCTCTGACCTCCAAACTTGCCACAGCATGTGTGCATGTATATGCATGTACACACACACATACACACACACACACACACACACACACACACACACACACACACACACACCGAAAATTTAAAATACAATTTAACAAATTTTTAACTGAAAAATAGCCCAGTAGACATTTACAACACAACTCCTGTACCTAAGGCTCAGGAACCATGGAGGAAGAGGTGGGTGGAAAAGTATTAAGAGCCAGAAATGTGCTGGAAGATTGTCCCCTAGAAATGACAGGCAGTCTTCACTCATAATACCTCAACAGTATGGCTATCTAAACAAGACCTCAACAATGATAGATACCAACAGACATGCTAATGTAAAGGGATATTCTCAGGGAGTCCCACCCCTAGAGAAAGAACTATAGGCAACTAAGCGATGTTGAGCGTGAGAGAGATAGTTTTCCCACAGGAAGGAGCCCCTAGTTGGTTATCCAGTACCAGTGGCCAACTCTGAAATAGTCATGTACATACATGCCACATGTATGTACTGAATGGACTCAACAGGCCATATTTATACATTTGCTCATGCATGTGTATGTGTGATCATATGTGCATATGTGTATGGAAAGTAATATTTGAAGAAGAGTCCAGGAATTTGAGAGGGAGTAAAAGGTCACAAGGGAGAAGTTGAAGGAAGGAAAGGGAATGGAGGGAAACAATACAATTATACTTTAATAAAAAAACTAAGCTAGAGTGACAATGAGAAAAACAACTGAAAGAACACTGTAGGTAGATAGTTGAGGAAAGCCTACAGAACGGATGGCTTGGCCAGCACTTTATCTTTATAACTGTGGTACGACCTTACTGGGAATTAATACTGGTTTTGTTGGTTGTACTGATTACAGAATTTCATAACTGCATTTTCATGCCCTCCAGGCCCATTCTTGTGTTGTTGATGAGGTGTGTGTTAGCATGTCTGTAGTATGGTAGCTGTTATGAAATGTCAAAGTCAAGTCCAGTTGTCTATAATCCTTCTGAGAGAGGGAATGATACATTGACCAGATAAGGTAGCTCTTTGAAGCATTTTTTTCTTAATACTATCTCAAATAAATTCAAGGAAATTCCTACTTTGAACTGTTTGGATGTAGGCTGAGTCCATTTTCTGTGCTGTAAATAATAATAATAATAATAATAATACCTAGAGCCAAGTAATTTATAAAGAATAGGAGTTTACCAGACATGTAGCCCTTGACTGAAACCCCAGCACTTGGGAGGCTGGAGCAGGGGGATTCTGAGTTTGAGGACAGCCTGGGCTACATAAGATGCTATTTCTAGCCAGGCGTTGGTGGCACACACCTTTAATCCCAGCACTCAGGAGGCAGAGGCAGGCAGATCTCTGTGAGTTCGAGGCCAGCCTGGTCTTCAGAGCGAGTGCCAGGAAAGGCTCCAAAGCTACATGAGAAACCCTGTCTCGAAAAACCAAAAATAAAAAAAAAAAAGATGCTATTTCTAAAACCACCTCCTCATCTCTCAAAAATAATAAGGGTTTATTTAGTGTGTGGTTGAAAAGGCTGGGGAGTCTACGGGCTAGGTGCCGGCTCAGGCAAGGGCTTCCTGTTGAATCATGGCATGATACAAGTATCGCTTAGGGAGATGGAGCTCAGATCCTCCTCAGAGCTCACTTGTATAATGAAGCCACCTCTGCAGATGAATCAATCCATGAAGATGGAGCACTTTGAGCCAATCACCTCTGACAGGTGTCTCCTGTCAAATACCACTCACCCACGTGACTTTGGGGTATTAAGTTTTTACTACATGAAGCTTGGGGCACATAGTCAGCCCACAGCAATGTATATTCTTCCTTGCTCCCCCACCCCAGCTGAATTACAAGGCAAAGCATGAAGGTGAGAAATTCAAGTGCAACGTGCCAGCTGATGCACCAGAGTTCATCCAGCACAGAGTCAATGCTTATAACCTGAGCGACGTAAGTAAGATGCCACACGCCTGCCTCATATGTGGGAAAACAGAGAGTGAGTTTGTCTGAAGACTCAGTGCAGTTAGCTGTGGAGACAGTTACAAGTGTAAGTGCTCTTGGGACCTACTTCATTATCAGATGTCATTTATTGTCACAAGCATTCCCTCATTTATCCATTTGATAATCTCTAGAGTTTTTGAGATTTCTTCCATGTAATTTTTTCATTTTATCTTTTATAAGTGACTGTTATATAATTATTTGTGGTAAGGGCAAGGGTCATAATTAGAAGGTTCTTAATTAAAACAGAGTGTACTATTTGTAATTTTAGTGTTGTAGAAGAAACTACATAATAGATCAATAGTTAGACTATTGTTGGGTTAATAAATTATTCATAGATGAGCTTTTAACTTTTTTATATTCACTGGGTTAGCCTTTATCACTGTCTATTTTAAAAAATAATAATAATTTCTTTTCTGAAACTTCCCCAGAATGTCTACAAGCAAGACTGGGAGAAGAGCAAAGCTAAGAAGTTTGACATCAAGGTGGATGCCATTCCCCTGCTGGCAGCCAAAGCCAACAGCAAGAATGCCAGCGATGTGAGTGTGGCCCTGGGCTGGGCTGCTGGCTTGGGATGTCCCTGCTGATCAGTTAGCATGTGTGATGTCCTTGCAGGTGATGTACAAGAAGGACTATGAGAAGAGCAAAGGCAAGATGATTGGTGCCCTCAGTATCAATGATGACCCCAAGATGCTGCACTCCCTGAAGACAGCCAAAAACCAGAGTGACGTGAGTGTCTGCCCCATGTTCAAGATGGTTTCACTCATCACATTCCAGAGTGTAGAAGGATTTCAGCTTGAGGGTTTTGTGCCCATAGGCTCTCAAGTTCATAAGAACCTGCCAAGAGCCTTAGAGGCAGCATGTACCCTGGTTCTTGCGTGCCTCACATTTGAGGAAAGAAATTATTGGCAGTATTTGACATCTTTCCACTTGGAAGACTGCATTAATGTTTAGTGGAGTGTCAGGTTTTGTTCTCAAAACCTCCTATAAAAGATCACTAGATATTTTAATGTATTTGAGAAATAGCCTTTAAATTGTTTTTGAAACTGCCTTTAGAAGAAACTACTGAACTTCCAATATAAAATCAAGAATGGCTGTCAATGCTCTCTATTGACTTTAATAATTGATTGTGACCTTCACCTAAGAAAAACATGCCATTGATGCTAGGCCTTTTTTTAAAACATGATTTTTAAAACATAGATCACCTTTGTGGAGCATTTTCTTTATCATACCTATTCTTAAATTTTAGAGATTCATGGATTCCCTAAAGGTGATTTATGGGTCATTTGTCCTTTTCTAGTTACGATTTTTACTATAGAGAGTCAAACATCTGCTCTTGACAATTAAAGTACATACTGCTTAGAGGATATTTTAAGAGTGGCTACAGTGTTCGGCATAGCTTTCAGACACTGGTTTCCATGGTGAAGAAGGATGACATGTGCAAGCAATAATCTGTGTGTGCTTTTCTTATCATTTTTGTGAGCATTGCACAGTGCCCATGCACAGGCCTCTGCCTTCCCACCATTCTGTATGCCTTCTAGGGTTAGAAGCTACAACTAACCCCCAATGATACCCCAGGAACCTAGAGCATTCTTTGTTTTCATCCTGTACTTGAAAGCATGAGATCGCTAGGCACAAAATAAACCGATGAATTCTTACCAATTGACTGACATTGGCAACTGAAAGTCATCATTAGTGAGCCATTCTCACACAAGGTTCAGTCTAATGCTAAGCTGTATAGAGCAAAGAGACCTTTTCTTAAAGCCACTTGCACCTCTGATGACTTTTTTATATGGATTTTTTTTTTAAGTTAGAGTATTTGTCCATGCCCATGTCCATCATGGCATCTTTACACACATGACTTGTGTCATTAGGCTTTGTCCTTTTTACGTCACCTCACCACTGCCTTCATTCACATTCATCCACTCCCTCTGACCAGTTCCCTTCCTTCTTCTGGTTAGTCTGCCTGTCTTAATTAGGATTCTATTGCTGTGAAGAAGACATCATGATGATGGCAACTGTTATAGAGGAAAACATTTGACTGGGGCTGGCTTCCAGTTCAGAGGTTCATTCCATTAGCATCATAGTGGGAAGCAAGGCAGCATGCAGGCAGACATGGTGCTAGAGAAGGAGCTGAGGGTTCTACATCTGGATTGGAAGGCAGCAGGAAATGAACCGGCCTGACCTTATGAGACCTCAAAGCCCACCTCCTCGTGACACACTTCCTCCAACAAGTCACACCTATCCAACCAGGCCACACATCCTAACAGTGCCACTCCCTATGGGCCTATGGGGGCCATTTTCTTTCAAACCACCACACTTCCCCCCCCCTGCTTTTTTAATCCTCTGTATTCCATTACCCTCTCTCTTTCCCATCTACCTGGGGCTTTTCCTCTTTCTCACCCCCTTTGTAGTTTGTGACCTAGACACCAACACATATATAAAAACACTCACACATATATGCACAAGACTAAATCTAGGCCATAGAAGACCAAATATGGAGTTTGTCTTTCTGAGTCTGCCTTGTTTCACTTCACAATGATTTCCACTTTTTCTTCTGATGTCCTAATTTCATTTTTCTCTGGACTACGTAAAATCCCATTGTATAGAGGAACCATGTTTTATGTAACTGTTTGTCTACCGATGTACAGCTAAGCTGGTTGCATTTCCTGGCTATTGTGAATAATTCAACAATAAAAACAAATGTGCAAGTATTTCTATGGTGTTTTTTGACAGTGTTTTATAGACACCAATATGTTTCAACTGCTGAGACATAAACACAAGTGTCTAAGCAATTCAGCAAGTCACCTGTCCCCCTCCAAATGCTGGTGCAGCACTGCCTTGTTAGCTCCTTTCCTATGGGACAGGCTTTAAATATGCATTTGCATGTCACTGTAAGTTTCCAATCATCATTCAGGGCTTAGATTTTATAATTGATAAACCCTTCCCCTGAAAAGAACAACCCACAAAGTATATGAAGGCAGTTCCCTAAGCTTATTGATAGCTGTTGTTTGGCTGAAAAGCTTTGGAAGCTGGTGTGGTAGCTAATGCTTGTAATCCCAGCACTCAGGAGGCTGAGGCAGGAGGACGGCCATGAGCTCATTTTCAGCCTGGACTACATAGATTGTACCAGGTCAGCCAGAACTACACAAGCAAGAAAGACCCCTTAAGCTCATTTTCAGCCTGGACTACATAGATTGTACCAGGTCAGCCAGAACTGCACAAGCAAGAAAGACCCCTTAAAACAAACAAACAAACAAACAAACAGAAGTTAAAGTAAAATAAATTTGGGAATATCTGTCCATATATGAATTTTCTGGAGGAATTTGATAATGTAAGTCATAGGCACAAATTTGGGATAAAATAATTACTTGAATATTGGCACCTGTTTCTCTACAGTATACTTTGGTTTTCTGTGAATTCATTAAGGATGAGTGAAACTAAATGCTCTCTTCTTACAGCGTGAATACCGCAAAGACTATGAGAAGTCAAAAACAATCTACACCGCCCCTCTTGATATGCTCCAAGTCACCCAAGCTAAGAAATCTCAGGAGATTGCCAGCGATGTAGACTATAAACACGTCTTGCACAACTACAGCTACCCACCCGACAGCATCAACCTGGACCTCGCCAAGAAGGCTTATGCATTGCAGAGTGATGTGAGTAGCAGCCTTCTCTTTCTGTCTTTGGAAGGTGAGTCAGGACAGGATCTATCTAGTCCTCTCTGGAGCATTTCCCTGTCTGTGGGGGAAACTTGGAGGTACTGGGAAATGGCCCCTTGGTTGTTAGGAGCACATATTTCTGTCTTTGGAAGGTGAGTCAGGACAGGATCTATCTAGTCCTCTCTGAAGCATTTCCCTGTCTGTGGGGAAAACTTGGAGGTACTGGGAAATGGCCCCTTGGTTGTTAGGAGCACATGTCCTCAGGACAGGACACCTGTGTCCAGCATATGCTGTTACTATTTCCTTCTGGAAAAGTTAGCAACCTTGCTGAGCCAATAGTCCTCAGCTGTTAAAATGAATAAAACAAAAGTTGTTTTGAGTATTTAAGTGCATGCCAAGGGCTAGTAAGATGGCGCAGAGGTAAAAAAACAAACAAACAAACAAAAACTGCTCTGTCTATTAAGCAATAAATTCCTCATTCTCTCTTCTTCTGGCCCCCAGAAACTACCTATTGCTGTAAGTTTGGCTATTGTAGACACCTCACATGTGTGGAATTAAACAGCATTTGTCTTCAGAAATGTATTTATTTCACTTAGTGTAATGCCCTCAAGGTTTACCTTTGTTATAGTTCTTGTCTGAGTTTTCTTCTTTGTTTAAAGCTGAGTAATTAATATTCCATTATAAATGTATACCATGTCTTGTGTATCTATTCTTCTGTGGGTGATTGTTTGCAATGCTCTCACCTTTTTGCTACTGTGAATTGTTTAAATGGCCATGAGTAATCTATTGTCCTTTCAACAGCTAATTGAAAGGACCCCAGAAGTCAAATCATTAGGTCATATGACAGTCTTACTTTTAGTTTTCTGGGAAACTAAAACTGAATAATTTACACCCCTACTGTCATGGAAATTTTAGCCAGCACAGGACCAAGCAAGCAGTCGGAGAGACAAGAGAAACTCAGTCTGGTTTCACTCAGGCATGAACCCAAGCTTATGCTTTGTAAAGTTCAGCTTTTATAGGTCAGGTCACAGTGTGACATCTGAGGCTGGTCTCTGTTTCCACCATAGTTAGACATGTCTGCAGGAACAAACATTTGCAGATAGAAATTGGAACACCCAGGCGCTTGCAGATACCAAATAAAGAATTCCTTCCTTGGTGAACCTTTGATAGTTGCCAGAATTATTCCTTAAGGTAGTTTATGTGAATGTTTGCCTTCCCAAGACAAGAGGAGGGGGGCAGAGTGAACTCAGCACATGAGTAAAACAGTAACTCACTCTGTTTTCTAAGCAATCCTACAGTTTCCAGGCAGGAAATTCTATTAGACAATCAAGACACAGAGTAATAGTTTGATTTTATTAGGTATGTAATATGTAAGGGCATATATATTTCATCACCACTGCCAATGGAAGTTCTACTATGTGTATGATCTTATTTCTTAATTATTTAATTTTTCTGTGTCTTCAACACAACTCTACTAGACGTTCCCCAGGGGCAAGATTGATTTCTTGATTTTTTTTTTCTACCCTAGTTTTTAAAAATCCATTCTAAAGAACAACAATTTTAGGTTTGCTTTTAGAGATAAATTTCAGGTGTCATCTATGGTCAGATGACTAGAAGAGCTTGCTATCTTAATGTCATCTGGTGATTGTTCCCACATAATATCAGTTCCAAATAATAACTATCTCCTTAGACAAATTAACATGAAGAATTATTTCCAAGTGTTTTGTTGGCTAATACAGAAACCCTTCTAAGATGGTCCCTATACATGAAGGACAATGTGTGCCAGGGCTTTGACAAGTAACTACCATCAAACCTTATTAGAAAATGACTAAGATTATCTACCTTCAATGGGACCATCAATTCACACCTAATTTGGCCACAGAGACACAATACTTAGCATTCTGGGGTGCAAACCTCTACAGCCAATGGTCCTAATGTAATCATTCCATTTATTCTTTGAAGTATAGCCTGGAATTGAGCATTTTCTGGGTTAGTGTCAGAATTCTACACATTTCCATTAAGTTAAACATCAGGGGGAAATGGAGGGCCTGGCAATTAGAAAGCAATACTCCAAACTATCACCCAAGAAATGTGTGTGTGTGGAGAAACACACCTGCTCAAACATCTTTAAAACCTTGAGTAAAATGCCCAAGATTGGTGTAACAATAACAATGAAAACAAAATGTGACTCCTCTTTCATTGTAGGTGGAGTACAAAGCTGACTACAACAGCTGGATGAAGGGCTGTGGCTGGGTGCCCTTTGGGTCCTTGGAGATGGAAAAGGCAAAGCGAGCCTCAGACATTCTTAATGAGGTATGGTCACTGGTATGCTAGAGGGTACTATGTCCTGCTAAAATGCAGAGCCACAAGAAGCACTTTTTCTGCTTCACTTTCTGATCACTGCTGTCGAAAAAGTTTTTTTTTTTTTATTGCCAAAAGATTTTTAAAGTACAAGAAGCACTTTTTCTGCTTCACTTTCTGATCACTGCTGTCGAAAAAGATTTTTTTTTATTGCCGAAAGATTTTTAAAGCACAAATAATTCAGAAATATATTCATACCCTTTATAGCATCTGAACTATTCATGTAAAACATTCAAATATAGCTGAACAATTTTATTCACATAATTAAAATGGACCTGCTTTAAACATAACTCATGCAATTGTGCACTCACTGCCATCAGGATATTTTTTCTACTTTTGTTTTTATTTTAAGACAAGGTCTCACTCTGTAACCCAGACTGGCCTAGAATTCATTGTCACCCAGGCTGGCCTTGAATATGTGGTGGTAATCTTGCCTCAGACTTTAAGAATGGGGATTCCAGGCGTGAAACCCAACACTCACCTCATAAATTAATTTTAAAGTAGTGCTACTAATATTCCATGAGGTTTCCTCAAGAGTCCCTTCCTGTCTTCAACCCTAGACCACTATTGAGTGCTTATGGTCTCTGGGGTTTTACCTTTTATAAAAGTTCCTTTGAGGTCTAGCTTCTTTTGCTTCTTTTGATACTTTTGCCTATGCCTAAAATTCATTCCTTATCTTTATTTTTTAACTGCATGGTCTTCCTTTGAAAAGATACACCACATATTAACGGTCCCTTGACCTGCTGGTTGACATGTGTGTTGTTTCTAGCCTGGGGCAGTTCTGAGTAATGTAACTGTCAAAGGTTCTGCTCTAACAATTGTGCCCTCAATTATAGTCTTGATGGCTCTGGAGTAGTTTACAAATTGCCACTCAGTCTTAGGGGAAATGCAGTGGTTGTCCTGAGAGTCTTATGGCCACATAAGACTGTCCCTTCTCCATCAACAGCTGAAAATACTCTTGTCACATGACTGCATCACCAAGGAAAGGGTGTGAAGTACAGTGGTTTGAAGTGAGGCTTGTCAACTATGCACAAGCTGGAAGTCTTCTAGTTTCTGTGTGCTTTTGTTTGGCTTTGGTGAAAGCAATTTTGCCTTCTCAAAGATCTGTCAGAAAATATCTTGCTATGTTAGTAGTTTTCAGAAGTTCGAAGCTGAAAAAGCAGTGTTAAGATATATGTAAAAGTAGAGTGTACAGTATGCCCCAAGGATAGCAACTGGGCAAATCAGTAGAGAAGACAGGCATAAAAGTAGTGACAAGTTGTCAGTTCCCCCACTGGGCTACCTTCCCAAGGTCCCTCTTTCTTTTTTCTTCAGTTCTTCAATGTCGAATACAAAAGAAGTCACAATAAGGCTGCAAAGTGGATATGTTCTCTGACTAGTTAATCTTTGGCTATTGCTCTACATTAGCAATTTGTCCCTCAACCAGAAAACTTTTTTCCTCCAGTTGTTGATGGAGTTGTTAAGGTCATGTAAAGTCACTAGTATTCAGGAGGCAGAAGCAAGAGGGGGTCAGAAGTTCAAGACCATCCTTAGATATTCACTGAGATTGAAGCCAGCCATATGTTACATTTAAGACCCTGTTTTTTAAAAATATAAACGAAAAGGACAACCCAGATATTCTTGCGTGCTTTTCTCCTAATCCCTCACAGACTACTGTGGGTTCTTTTGGGGGGGGCTCAACATAACAGAAAAGCCTTCTTTCATGCCATAAGCAAAGAATTGTGGACTGCAATCATGCTTCCAGGAAGCTATGCCTCTCTCCAGCACAGACTTCTCATGGTGACACCCATTTTAAAACATTCAGTTTTGTATTGTATTCATTCCTCATCCAAGGTGATCAGGACACCAGTATTTTAAAATTGAGAAAACCCCTCCATGTCTTCCCAAAGTAAATCTCCAGGATTTTCAATACAGGGTCTGTAGTGAAAAGTAATTATTATTATTTTTTGCTTCTCCAAGAAAAAATACCGCCAACATCCAGATACACTCAAGTTTACCTCAATTGAAGATGCTCCCATTACAGTGCAGTCAAAAATTAACCAGGCCCAGAGGAGTGATGTAAGTGTCCATCCTGTGTGTGTTTTTGTAAGTGTTTACTAACATGAAGGTACCTGCCCTCAAATGCACAGGTCACCTGGAGCTGCTTCACCATCTGAAGAGCCTCTTGTGGGCAGCTGTAAATTCCTGCTGTCCGATGATGCCACACGCACCTAATCATATCTTTAGGGCACGGCATATACTACACCAGCTGTCCTGTCACCACTAAGGGAAGGCTCTCTGAGGGAAGAGTGAGGGGGTTCTTCTAATGACAGTTGTAAAGTATCTCTAGGAAGACCAGAAAGAATGAATATAGCTGCTGGGTCACTTGGAGATTATAGGAGAAAATATATGTAATCAAAACCACCTGTAAGTCTCTTTAGACTCCCATAAAAATCTAAAATAGATTATTGATGTGTTCTGCCCTGCTAGCCTGCTCTGGCTTTGGGAAGTTCCTGCAGATTTTCACCAGATCACCTCCCTGGGATGAGGTTCTAAGAACCTTCTTCCTAGAGTCAGAGATTCCCATGCTCAGAAATCTTGACCAACAGTGAGCATGCAATGTGACAGGATTCTGTGCCATACATTTTTGCAGATGCATGTAGGGACAGTACAGAGTATGTCTTTCTTAGCATCACCTTGTGACATACACACTACCCTGAAATTATTTCCAGTGCCGTTAACTATCTCTTCATACTTGGGTTACACATGGTTTCTCGTCTCCTAGATCGCTTACAAAGCCAAAGGGGAGGAAATCCTGCATAAGTACAACCTGCCAGCAGACCTGCCGCAGTTCATCCAGGCTAAAGTGAATGCCTACAATATCAGTGAGGTACACACATCACTGCCCTGCACGTTCTGCCTTTACTAACATGGCCTTGCAGTCCTACTCAAGGGGTGTTTCTCTTACAGAATATGTACAAAGCCGACTTGAAAGACTTAAGCAAGAAAGGATATGACCTGAGAATTGATGCAATTCCCATCAAAGCTGCCAAAGCTGCCCGGCAGGCAGCGAGCGATGTAAGTCCAGCCACGGTCACATGTGTAACATGAGACCTAATAGGATACCCAGAAGTCAGCATGTACGGTGTCCCTGATGGAAAACAATTCTGTACAGAAGAGATCTAAGCAGACCTTAGTATTCTTGGAGGTCAGAATTGGTATAACTGTCCTGAGTTACCAACCAGTAAGACTTCAAATCACTGTGCAGATTTCTGCATAAATTCACATTACTTTGATAAGAAACCAAGAAGAAATTCAAGTTATAATAGCTTCTGGATGGAATAATTTTATCTCTAATCTTTTATTAATGGATGTGATTTCCTCTTTCCCTCTTTTCCCTTTTCATTCATTACATCTATTTTCTAGGCAATCCAAATACAACTTCTGATTAAAATGAAGTTTTCATTGCAATACAATAATTACAATACAGCTTTAAAAAAAAAACAGAACAAAAACCAGATGTTCTTGTTCTGAGAAGCTCTCCCCCCTGAAATTTCTCACTGGCCTCTTTTCTCCTGGGTGGCTTCTCCAGTCACCCCATGCCCCGTATGTCCCAGAGCTCTCTCCTATATGCTCTGGGTTTCCCAGGATCCTCTGCAGGTATCCCCAAGAACCCCTAGTCTCAACTATTTGTAATTCAGAGTCAAATTCTGTTAACCATGACTGCTTCTGGGTTTCCTTTGAAATAATCAAGGACTCAGAAAACATGGCTTTAATTAAGAGTCTTCAGTTGTCAAATATTCAGCTGTTCCAGGGCACTGGCAGCAGAACGTTATTGGTAAAGAATGAAAAATGCTTTTTTTTTTTTCATGATATATACCAGTGTCTATAGGAGAAGGAACAGTGTGGAGAATTAGTTTGTCACTGATATGAACTATAATTCGCATCAGTATGTCACTGATTATGGCTCATATCAATGACAAACTGGACCCCAACCTCTTTTGTGTAGGCAGAAGTAGCTATAAATCCTCAAGTGGCTCCCAAGTGATATCTTATTTTACTATACTACATAGGAAGTGTGGACCCTTCATAGCCTCAGATTTCATATTCACAGATACCTAACTGTGGACTGAAACAATTTTTAAAATTACATCTGTGCTAAACACTTAGAGACTTTTTTCTTGTTGTTAGCTTCAGAATGACATGAAACCATTTATATAGCATTTATACTTTACTAAATATTGTAAGTTATCTACAGATGATTTGAGTTGTACATTGGACAGTGTGCATAGATTATAGGCAAGTACCTTGGTTCAAACAAGGGACTCGAGTATGGGTGGGATTTTTGTGTTTGCCGGAGGTGGGGAACCCTGGAACCAATCCCCTTGTTATAGGCATAAAGAAATGTCTAGGAAGCTCAGAAGTTTCCAATTATGACCTAACTGTTCAGTATCTTCAAAGCTACATTTCAAAATATGCCCACCTTCATTCTCAACAGATTCATTACAAAAAAGATTATGAAAAAGCTAAAGGGAAAATGGTTGGGTTCCAAAGTCTCCAAGATGATCCTAAACTGGTTCACTACATGAACGTGGCCAAGATACAGTCAGACCGGGAGTATAAAAAAGACTATGAAAAGACAAAGACCAAGTACAACACCCCTCACGATATGTTCGATGTTGTGGCGGCTAAGAAGGCACAGGATGTGATCAGCAATACCAACTACAAGCACTCTCTCCACCACTACACTTACCTGCCAGATGCCATGGACCTGGAGCTGTCCAAGAACATGATGCACATACAGAGTGATGTAAGTGCTGTGGCTCCCAGGGCACCATCCCCTCAGTTCCCAGAATGGGCCTAGCTCTCATCCTCTTCCCTCCCACTGTAGAATGCCTACAAGGAAGACTATAACACCTGGATGAAGGGCATTGGCTGGATACCAATTGGCAGTCTTGACCAAGAAAAAGTTAAAAAGGCAGGTGATGCCCTGAGTGAAAAGAAATACAGGCAACATCCAGACACGCTCAAGTTCACCAGCATTGTGGACTCCCCAGTGATGGTGCAAGCAAAACAGAACACACAGCAAGTCAGTGATGTGAGTACAGCATGGGGTATGTGTGTGTGTGTGTGTGTGTGTGTGTGTGTGTGTGTGTGTGTGTGTGTTGGGGGACGGATGCTCTTTAAGGGGTAAGTGCCTAATCAATGTGTTTACTCTTACTACAATGTCTTTCCATTTCCAATTTAGTATTCTGTGCATTCAGTGTTATAACTATGGGGGCTGGAGAGATAGCTCAGTGTTTAAGAGCAGTAACTGCTCTTGCAGCAGATCCTGGTTTTGTTCTCAGTACCCGCATGGTAACTCACAACTATCCAAAACTCCAGTGTCCACTTCTGACCACCACAGGCACCATGCATGTGGTGCACAACCATACATGTAAACAAAACATTTACTTCCATAAAATAAAGAGATTTTAAATTGTTAAATAAAAAAGAAAGGGGAGTCAAGACCATGATGGGGAAACCACAGTGACAGCTGACCCGAGCTAGTGGGAGCTCATGAACTATGTATGGACTGACAACTGGGGAACCAAACTAGACCCTCTGAAGGTGGGGGACAGTTATGTCATTTGATATATTGGGGGGGGCTGACAGTGGCTCCAGGACCTATCCCAGGTGCATGAACTGGCTTTTTGGAGCCCATTTCCTATGATGGGATACCTTGTTCAGCCTTGATGCAGCTGAGAGGGACTTGGGCCTGCCTCAACTTGGTATGCCTGGCTTTGTTGACTGCCCAAGAGAGGCCTTAGCCACTATGAGGAGTGGATGGGGCAGGGGTAAGAAGGGGAGCAGGGGGAACTACGGTTGGTATGTAAAATGAAAAATAGTTTTTTAAATAAAAAGAATTGAAAACTTAGGTTGGGCATTTTTTTATTCCCCAGGCACTAAATTATTAAAACTGTTCTTTATAAAATCTTCCTTTTCAACTGCCATTAAAAGACTATCTTATAACTAGTAAACAAGGAGGACCCTAAAAGAGACAAACTTTGTCCCCTGGAGAAGGGGAAAGGGTCACCATCCCCTGAGCAAATTGAGAGCATGGGAAGTGGGGGGAGGGAGCTAAGAGAATGAGAAGGGAAGAAGAGGAAGGATGCAGAGGTCATGAGGGAGCAGAAAGGTTGAGTCAGGTGTAGATTAGAAGAAAGGATATGTGATAGGTAGGGTTTTAGTTGGGGGGTGGCAGGGGAGGAAGGGAGGGAGAAGGGAACTGGGATTGTCATGTAATTCAATCTTATTTGTAATTCAAATAAAAAAGTCAGAAAAAAGACTATCTTATTGGATACATTTTAAAATATTCTATTTACTATCCATACATGGATATAAGGTGTTTAGAACCAACCTATACCTCCCAATCCCTTTCCTCCAATTCCTTCCCTATTGCTCCCACCCCTTATTGGATATGTTTGACTGTTACAAAAAGTTTTATTCCAGGACACATGTGGTGGCACACACCTTTCATCCCAGAACCGGAGAGTCTGGAGATTTAGGCCAGCCTAGGCTACATAGCAAGATCCATACAGGAAAAGAGGAGGAGACAAAGGGGGGCAGGTGCTTCTACTAAGAGCAACTCCTAATGTGTGAAGTGAATGGCTTTTCCTTTCATCCTGGTGAGGAAGGCATTTTATTTTTTGTGTCCATGTATTGCAGATCTTATACAAAGCTAAAGGAGAAGACGTAAAGCATAAATACACATTGAATCCTGATCTCCCACAGTTTCTCCAGGCCAAGTGCAATGCTTACAACATAAGTGATGTAAGTAGCATGGGTCTCTAATGGGGTGTGAAAACTTAATGTGGCAATAAAATCATAGGGAAGCATCTGGATGAGTATTTGATAAGTCCGCTTCCCACTCTTAGTCCCCAGCAGAGCACATCTCAGGGTGGTGGCCTTTTGACTTGAGTTGGCTGTTGGCAAGGAAGGACCCCTTCATGGGGTGCAGCATGCTTCCATATGTATAGTACATTGCATATTCTACTAAAACTTCTACTTTGTTTTCAGGTTGGCATATGGGAGAGGAATTACAATCCTCTAGGAGAAAAATGAAAATTAATACGATCCTTTTATTCATTAATTTTCAAAAAAAAATTTTACAATAACCTTAAAATTTGTAAAGCTGGCTGCCTGGCCATCATTCATAAGACTGGACAGCTTCATTTTCTCTTAAGGGTTCCCCTCATGGACCAGAGTCCCTATAGCCTTTACTATGCCTTCCTTTATCCACTCTAGTTTTCCAACATCACTCTTCTGTAAGAACCAAGGCCAGATTAATCAGGGAGAGACTTGGTATTGTGCTAGATACCAAGTGTGACCCTTTGCTGACGTGGCTTCTTGGAAGAGTACATGCGATGGGAGACCCTAATTCCTTAGCTTACACATGCAAGAGAACTAACGAACTCAGCCACTGAGGGTTCCTGGGCTGATAGGTAAATAGTGCACTGACTCCCTTTGCTTTTCTACCCCAGGTCTGTTACAAACGGGACTGGCATGACTTAATAGCCAAAGGCAACAATGTCCTGGCTGATGCAATTCCTATCACAGCGGCCAAGTCATCAAGAAACATCGCCAGTGATGTGAGTAAAAGTTTTAGGCGACTGCCTTTCCCAAAAATAATTGGATACATGCTTGCTTGGGTAGACACATGCAATTAGTGATGCCCAAACTCCCCACAAAGTAGTGTTTTGCAAACCTGCCACCATTTCAACATGGTTGAGTGTTTTTCAGATGACTCAACTTGGTAGCAATGTCCTAAGTCTGACAGTGGCTTTCTCCCCTGACTCATGATGAAAATCACCTTTGCTGACACATTTCCTTGACAGCCCGCATTTATTTTCAGTGAGAACATGAAATAAATGACAGTACCATGTTAAATTCAGGTGACTGTCTGCATTGCAATTGCATTAAAAAAAATGGAGAATGTTACACATTTGCAGGTACTCCAAGCCAAGTAGGACCCCTGCTTCTTTTAGGATATAATTGTAATCATTCCAGTCCATTGATGGCCTTTCATCTATGTCTTAGTTAGGTTTTTATTGCTGTGAAAAGACACCATGACCAAGCAACTCTTATGAAGAAGACATTTATTTGGGATGACTTGCTTACAGTTTCAAAGGTTCAGTCCATTATCATCATGACAGGGAGCATGGCAGGCCAGCAGGCATGGTGCTAGAGAAATAGCTGAGAGTCCTAAATCTTGCTGGCTACAGGAGTTGACTGGACAGTCACATTGAGGGAAGCTTGAGCAAGAGACGTAAAGGCCTGCCCCAACAGTGACACACTTCTTCCAACAAGGCCACACCTCCTAATAGTGCCACTCCCTTTGGGAGCCATTTTCTTTCAAACCACCACAATCTATGATCACACACACACACACACACACACACACACACACACACACACTTCTCCACATAAGAGAGAGGGGTATAAAGTCATTACAGCTTTCCTTGCAGGGAAGGACTGAAAATACCTTCCTCAAAGCTTTGCACACAGTACACATCGCTCTGAAATACACTCCAAATTTAAATTGAAAGTGAAAGTCTGAAGTGTAACTCTGTCCCTCCCCACCACTAGCAGGTTTGCAGCGCTTTCTCTAACATATCAAGAAATTCTTAGGTAATGCTTTCACCTGCTAAGTCCTCGCTTATGGATTCCTGTTTGCATGCCAGTGCTCAGTGTTTGTGGGGTTTGGGTGGATTTGAATTCTCTTGAATAAATATTGAGGGTCTGACATGTTACAGGACAGCTCATTCTGCAGCTCAGTGATGGTCCCAGCAGTGAAAGACCTTGAGCAGATTTGCTTTGAGTTGGGTTTTTATTAGTGAGAAAACCCCATAGCAGTTCTTGGTTTAGCTGAAGCTCCTTAATTCATTTGCAGTTACTTCAGGCTCATGCTTGCTGAGGGAGCAGGTGATAGAGGGAGTGGGTGAAGGCTCACTGATACTCACATCCATGAACAGAAATCACAAAGTGGATTAGAAAAGGCCACATTCCCGTGAAGCTAAAAAAAAAAAACATTGGTTTTATATTTGGAAGGTGGTGTGTTCATATTCTGGTAGATTTCAAAAATAGTTCTGTATACAAATCATCTGTAGAAGTTAAACCAAGGGGGTGGGGGGATTGTTAAATTGATCATGGGACTCCCTTGAAGTCTCAGCAGAGTTTAAAGGGGTTTTTCTGGAAGAGGTGTGGTATGTGTTTCATGAACACTCATCTAGAAATTCATAATTTTCTGTTTACTTTTGTGTGTGAAAAAATTGTTGTACCAAATGCTACCAGTCCTGCCACTTGGCTAACCAAGTTCTATCTCCACAGTATAAATACAAGGAAGCTTATGAGAAGTCAAAGGGGAAGCATGTTGGTTTCAGAAGCCTCCAGGATGACCCCAAGTTGGTCCATTATATGAATGTGGCAAAGTTGCAGTCAGACAGGGAATACAAGAAAAACTATGAGAACACCAAAACCAGTTACCATACCCCTGGGGATATGGTTAGCATTACTGCTGCAAAGATGGCCCAGGATGTGGCCACTAATGTCAACTACAAACAACCATTACATCACTACACATACCTGCCTGATGCCTTGAGTCTGGAGCACACCAGGAATGCTAATCAAATTCAGAGTGATGTAAGTATCTGTTATACAACAGACCCAAAGACATTCGTTCCTAAAGAATGATCATTTCAACCCATCTTATTTGCCTTCAAAACACAATAAGATGCTTGAGAAATACACACTAGACTAAGCAACATTCATTCAAAAACTTCCAAAGCTGCATTATTTTTTCCTGCTTTCCATGCTTATGTTGAAAGCATTGGCATTGTGTCTGTTAAATTATGGAAGAAGATGGGACTTCGTTCTAATGTCACGAGGCACTTTGCTTCTCAGCCAGTGGTACTCCCGTGGGCCTGCTTCAATGGTAATAGCTGAAAGATGCAAAATTGAATTCCGGGTGCTTTCCGAATTCAGGAAAGTGTTTTTTTTTTTTCCTTTTTTCAAACTCAGAGTCACACTGTCATCCATGTAAATCTATGCAATGAGTCATATCAAACGAGCTAGGAAGGCTCTACTTGCAGCATGATTCATAGAGAGCCGCACAGGGAGCTGTTTAGCATTCAGGGCATTTCTTTCTGCAGATTTCTGTAAGGCTTGTCCTCTGTCAGGGGAAGAAATGGGATTCTGTTACTTGAGCAGTCCATGAAAATCTCTCTGCCCAGCTAAGGTCAGAAATAACCTGGGTGGAGAGTGTGGGTGAAACTCAAACTTGCAAAGCTTCTAGTGAAATTAAAAAGAAAGCCCAATTTATTGTCAAAAGAGAAAAAAAAAAAAACATTCACGATACCCATGGAAATGCATGACCTAGATTTCCTTATGCATTGTATAATGAACTCTAACAGCGGACCTGCTTTTTCCTATTCCCAGTTCCCGGTAATAAGCTGAATGACAGACTAGACACAAGCGCAGGGAAAATAATTGTTTTCATTTCTTTTGGGTAGAATTACAGCTCCCGGAAGATTCACTGACTATTCCCGAAGCTACCTTCTCATATGAGCTTACTCTTTTTGCAGAATGTGTACAAAGATGAGTATAACAGCTTCTTCAAGGGCATTGGGTGGATTCCCATCGGCTCCCTGGAGGTGGAGAAGGCCAAGAAGGCAGGCGATGCACTAAATGAGAGGAAGTACCGACAACACCCGGACACCATCAAGTTCACAAGTGTGCCTGACTCCATGGGGATGGTTTTGGCTCAGCAGAACACAAAGCAGCTAAGTGATGTAAGAGGTTTCCCTTTAGAGGTTTAGTCCCTGAGTGAAGCCCCTATACTCTTTCACTCAGCAAGTGAGGCTGCGTCTATGTTAACACATACACTCTTTTCAGAGGCTAAGGTACAGAGTCTACTTCAGAAACGATATTGAACTTGAAGACAGAGGGTCTCCCACTTTGCTGTGTTTTCTCAACACAGACAGTCTGTGCTATTCATAGGACCTGCACATTATATAGATGAGTGTTCCTATTGTCATCTTTAACTTGGTCTGAATTGCAAAAGTTGTTGATTGCTCTGAGTAACAGTAGTTCTACCAGATACATAGAAAAATGGCATGATATCCTAGTCCTCTTGCATAACAGCTCGTTCTATGAGGTGCTCTTAAGGTGAGGCCTCTGGGAAAGAGAGCAGCAGTTTATTTGTTGTCATTGTTTCTGAGACCAAGTCCCTTTTCTTCCAGTCAGGGGCTAACTACAATGCCCACAGTCTCATATCACACAGTGCTTTCAGTGCCTCCCACCCTCCCCCGCCGGGAAAGAGAAGCAAAATTTAAAACAAAGACTGTATTTGTTTTAGCCCCAGATGTTGGAAGGTAGGGGCCTTTTTTTACTTGCCTTGGACCTATGGGTCTCATCCCTTCATGGTAATCTCTGCTCTTATGTTAGTGCAATGCTTAGGGATATGTTGTCCTTTAGTGCTCATAAATGCTGGGGATTCTTGTCACCTCTGGTTGTGTTTGAGTTAGCCATGAAAATGGTACTCACTGCACTGTCTGCTCCATCTGAATAAATTCCATCAGCATAAACCTAGGCACTGAAGCCAGAAATGTGTTGGTAACTTTTGATGTAACCCCCTCTATGCCCTCCCGACATCCTGTACCTCTGCCAAGCCTGTGTCCTAAGTAGCCACTTTGCTGCAGGATTTGTCTTTGATCTGCCATCTGGCAGAGCCCCTTGTTTCTCATGTGGATGACTACAATGACTTGGCCTCACTGTCTGGGCTCTCCAACAAATGAGACCCATCCTCTTGTGTTTAAACTCTCTTGGGGATTTCTCCTTGAAATTCAAATTCAAACTCATTAGCTTGGGTGAAGAGACCTCTGTTCCATGGAGAGCTCTCCCATGGATGTCAGGTTGCTCTGAGCCACTTTCTTGCTTTGTGGCCTTAAAATGCTGCTCTTCTGCCCAGAACGCTCTCTTCCACCTGAGTCTGAGCACACACACCACCTCTGCCTTCATGATTGTCCAGGTCTCTCTGGTATGGCTGTTGTAGTTTCAATATATCACAAATTTATCTGTAGTTTATAGTTTGCATGTTTATACAAAACCATGCTCTCTCTATGAAACCATAAGCTCCAAGAGGAAAGATCTGCCCTTTTTTTCTACTTTAAACACAGAACCTACCACCCTAGCTGATGGGATGAAGACACAAATATATCTATGCCAGCTCCCTGCCTATGATGGTATATGCAGTTGTCTTATATACAGAAAACACCCTTTTAAAAGCATGGCTACCTGATCAAGCTCATGCTGTGTCTCATAGCATCACATGCTTCTTTCTTTGCAGTTGAACTACAAGGTAGAAGGTGAGAAACTGAAGCATAAGTACACAATGGACCCTGAATTGCCTCAGTTCATCCAAGCCAAGGTTAACGCCATCAATATGAGCGATGTGAGTATCCAACCTGGTGTCAACCTAACATTGCTCTTGTTGACATCCCTTTCCTAATCCTGGGTAACTCTTGTACTGAGCCATTCAAGGAAAGCAAACCAATTGTAGACTGTTTGAGCACTCAGATGGATCCTTTTTACAGACTGCAGCAGACTAGGGGTCACTATAAAGTTTTGCCTAATGTATATTCTAACTATGAGCTGTGACTCACTAATAGATGGTAAAACCACTTTAGAAAATGGTATCTCATTAAGAAAAACCCAAAGTAGGGACAAGACTGGAAAGCACAGGTACAGTCGGCTCCATGCAATTTTGTTTCAATTATTTATTAAAACTTCTAGAAGAGTTCAGTTTCCTTCTGTGATTCTTGGGAGTTTTTAAAGAACTACTTAGTAGGTAGTCTGGGCATGTAATTGGTTACTATGCTTAAACCCAAAATTGTGAAGACAGGGGTTACAGCATATGCCTATAATGTTAGGAGCCTGGGACATTGGTCATTGACATGGAAGCTGAAGAATCAAGAGTTTGAGCCCAGCCCAGGCAACATAATGGGACCTCATTTCAAAAATAAAATAAAACAAGTAGATCCAACACATGAATTCTAATTTTAAAATGTAATTAAACCTGCAAAAACTGTTGGTTTATTATATATATTAGACAAGATCTCATTATGTAGCCCTCACTAGCCTAGAATTCCCTACATAGACCAAGATGGCCTGGAACTCATAGAGATCTGCCTGCCTCTGCCACCGTGCCCAACACCTTCTCATGTCTTAATGATTTTTAAAATTAAGCTATTATTCTTAACATTAACATTTTAGGTACAATTTTGTCTTCTAAGTGTTCAGGGTTTTTTTTTGTAATCATTTCTATGCTTTAGGCCCTTTTAAATTTTTCTCTTGTAGTACAACATGAAAAGCATTTTAACAATGAAAGCTACAGGAGTGGTACTGTATCTGAACTTTAATATTTTGATAACAATGAATTTCTCTCACTTTGAAATGCTTTATTATGAAAAGTTTGTCACAAGTATGACATTCTTAAAGGAGAGATTGAAAATATGGAAATTGATGAAAATGCTTAGTTATCCTATATTCAAAGCATCCCCTTTCCATTGCTTTGTCACACAAACAGACATTTTGTCATTAGTTGAGATTACACCTCGTCTTGCTTACTGGTTTTGAGTTGTTCTAATTGAATTAGACTTTTGTTTTGTTTTGTTTTCCAAATCAAGGTCTCCCTGTATAATATGGGCAGACCTCAAACCCATAATCACTCCATTCAACCTCCCCAGTGGTAGGACTACTGGACTCTATCTCCCACCCATATCATAGTTTACGGAAGAATGTAGCAGACACACAGGTGATAAACTAACCACTTGGCTGTAGATTCTCTTAGTGGAAGGAAATGTAGATCTCGTGTGTCTGGTTTCAGTTTGTCTTTTAACAATGTCAAATGATAAAGCACCCCTTTGTTTCTCACAGGCTCATTACAAAGCAGACTGGAAGAAAACCCTTGCCAAGGGTTATGACTTGAGACCAGATGCCATTCCCATTGTTGCCGCCAAAAGTTCAAGGAACATTGCTAGTGATGTAAGGCAAACTATGCGTGTTTTATAGTCTGCATATTGTACATGAAACTAAGATCTATAGAGTGATACACATGAAAAGATTACAATATAGAAGTATTTTCTTATTTCTAAGTGCCACTGAAATTATTTTTTAAAACTTCATTAAAAATGTACAGATGTGTTTTCTTTTTATTTGTATAAAGTTTTGAAAATCTTACTGTTTTCACTGTAAACTTACAAGTTTTTAAGATTTTGTCAAGAAAAAGTTTCAGTATACTAAAATATGACTAAATAAAGTCCCCAAACATTTTAAAAGAATATGCTGTTTTAATTTCACAATTTGTTTATACAAGAAACATATGTAGTGAAACAAGAGAAACTGGGAAGCACTGTAGGTTAAATAACAATGTTTTAATTGTTTTTAATTATATATTCTAGATGAGTTGATATAATTATCATAATAGAGTATGAATTCATTCATTTCAAGTTCAGTACTTTAATTTGGAATAGGTCTTTGGTGAAATGGAGTCATGATTGCCTGAATACTTTTTTAAAGTAGTGTATGTTATTAATGGAAATGAGATAGAAATATACAACTGCTTAGTAAACATCTTGGAAACCTTTGAGCACATTCAAAGAATCTGCAAATGAACAATCTAGATATAAATTTCAAATTATTATATTATTTATTATTCTCAGAACAAATGTAATAGTCATCCATTAGAAATATTTTGCAAGTTGTATATTAAAATACTAAACATATCTTAGGTATTGTTTAGATTCAGACTGAACTTGACCTTTGCATAGATTGTTAAATAAACTCACATTATGTCAAATTTCTGTCTGGCCCTCTCTTCCAAATAGTTCAAGTACAAGGAGGCCTATGAGAAAGCCAGAGGCAAACAAATTGGCTTTCTCAGTCTTCAGGATGACCCTAAACTGGTTCACTACATGAATGTGGCCAAAATACAATCAGATCGTGAGTATAAGAAGGGATATGAGGCCAGCAAGACTCGGTACCACACACCTCTGGATATGTTCAGTGTGACCGCTGCAAAGAAGTCTCAGGAAGTTGCAACCAACACCAACTACAGACAGCCCTACCACAACTACACCCTCCTGCCTGATGCCTTGAACGTGGAACACTCCAGGAATGCCATGCAAATTCAGAGTGATGTATGTACCAGATGGAGGCTGGGATGGTTAATTTCCATTTTCAAGGGCACGATGTGGGGGGGGTACAAGGGTCATCAGAGACATCTTCATCTTGCACCTATCCAGATCTGGGTCTTACACGTGACCCACTGTGCTTCCTGGGGATTTACAGAGTGAGGTATTTCATGTAATTACATGTGATTCATTGTTATTTCATACACAGTGTGTGTGTGTGTGTGTGTGTGTGTGTGTGTGTGTGTGTGTACTAGACCACAGATGTGAAAAAATTAAGATATATAATATCCTTCCCAATGCAATTTCAAAATTTCCATCCCATTTTATTGTTGTAGATTATTTTATTTTGTTTTGTTTTTTGTTTTCAATATTTAGCCTTACCTGAAGCTCACTGTGTCATACAGGTTGACCTTGAACCCACAATCCTGTCTTAGCCTCATGAGTGCTAGGATTATAGACATGTATCATCATGTCTGGATAAGAAAGTTAGTTTTTAAAACAAGTTGTTATGTTAGGATTTCCAGTTTAAAACCACCATGAATGCAATCTTTTCATAACCACTTTGCTCTAAAAGACTGTAGTGAGTAAACACTAGGCATTCTCTCTCTCTCCTCAGTACCACCCCCTTCTCATTTTGATAATTAGTCTTGTAGCCAAAGAAACCCATGGTCTGCTTCTTTCTGAAATGAAATTTTCTTTCTTCATGATAAAGAATCTGTACAAATCTGACTTCACCAACTGGATGAAAGGTATCGGCTGGGTCCCCATAGACTCCTTGGAGGTGGAGAAGGCAAAGAAAGCTGGAGAGATTCTGAGTGAGAGGAAGTATCGCCAGCACCCTGAGAAGCTGAAGTTCACATACTCCATGGATACCATGGAGCAGGCACTTAACAAAAGCAACAAGCTGACTATGGATAAGGTAAAAACCCAAAGGCTAGCCTCAGCCTGGGAAGCCTAGAGAGCCCTTTGTGAGTCTTTAGCACTCTTGGCTCATGATTAGGGGGTAGGGGTCTGTAGTGTGCGCGCGCGCGCGCGTGTGTGTGTGTGTGTGTGTGTGTGTGTGTGTGTGTGTGTGTGCTTTTTAAAAGAATATTATGATTCCACTATTTCAAGAGAGCTCTTCTCTATTGACACTTCGAGACAGAACTACCAAGGCCCCACATGACTGTAAAGTGGGGCAGGATGGCGCTCGTGTCAGGAACAGGGTTCCCTGGTCTAATGATGATTTTTCTCATCATCAGACTTAGCCTCTTCCACCATGTAGATGCATCCCTCCTTTTCCTCCCATTATTACAAACCTGCTCCACTGTAGAGTCATGTGCTGACCCTCTCGTTACAGAGGCTGTACACAGAAAAGTGGAACAAAGACAAGACCACCATCCACGTCATGCCTGATACTCCAGACATCTTGCTCTCCAGAGTAAACCAGATCACCATGAGTGATGTAAGTATATCCATGGTGAACAAGTGGGGGGAATGCTGAAGGAAGCTCACACTTGTGGGACATCTGCCTTTTACATGGCCACCATGTAGGAATTGGGAGCTCTGTTGTAACTGCAGTAACAACTCACTGTTGTTTCTCTGGTTCCTGGTTTAGAAACTATACAAAGCAGGCTGGGAAGAAGAGAAGAAGAAAGGCTATGACCTGAAGCCTGATGCCATCTCAATACAGGCTGCAAAGGCCTCCAGAGACATTGCCAGTGATGTAAGTGCCTCCACTGGAACACCTTTGGGATGAGTGATGGTGAAGACAAGCCAGGGTTAGGTGTGATCATGACATGGGCTCAGCTCATCAGCTGGACACAGTATCCTGAGACACTTCTCTTCACACAGTCCAGCTACCCTCTAATCGTTTTGCTCATTGTTCAATGTAAAAATGATAAGGTCATATCAAAATAAGTTAAGAGTATTTGAATTATGAAAAACAATTTTAAGCAAATTTAAGGATGTGATCTATGTGTTTTACCTATGAGATCCATAGCCAGCTCTCTCCCCAAAGACACGCTAAGGAATTGGCAGCCTTTTCTGTGTTTACACGGAGAGAGAGTGAGGCAGAAACACACTGCTCCTGAGATTAGTCTCCAACGTTTGAAGTACAGAGCTGTTGCTTCCTGGCTCTGCTGCTCCCTCTCGGCCTCATTATAGGCAGCTCTAACATTCTTTACCTACACCAAAGCTAGAAGCACCCAGTGAACCATATTTTATTCTCTGACCTGAACCATTTAGTTCATGGCCATGTTTCTTGTCTGTCCACAGTACAAGTACAAGCAAGCCTACGAACAAGCCAAAGGGAAGCACATTGGCTTCCGCAGCCTGGAAGACGACCCCAAGTTGGTGCACTTCATGCAGGTGGCCAAGATGCAATCAGACCGGGAATACAAGAAGGGCTATGAGAAATCCAAGACATCCTTCCATACCCCAGTGGACATGTTCAGTGTGGTGGCAGCCAAGAAGTCTCAGGAAGTGGCCACCAATGCCAACTACAGGAACATAATCCACACCTACAACATGCTTCCTGATGCCATGAGCTTTGAGTTGGCCAAGAACATGATGCAGATTCAAAGTGATGTACGTGACAGTGTTGCACATTTGTAGTGCCATTACCCACATCACAAGCAGCTCATGAGTGACCGTGTAGTGGCATTTCAAAAATCTGGAAAGAAATCCACCTGCGGTTTCCTGAAAGGGATCTTAACTCATTCCCTTAGGCTGAATTCATTTCTTTTTAATGAAAGGAGCTCTATTCTAGAAACTAAAATCCAATCTTTCATTCTTGGTGCTGAAGTCACTGTTGGCTTCTGCATTCAGCAACAGCAAATTGATTTGGTTTTAGAGAGAATCCATTGAAGGGAATAAACCTAGCAAGGAGGACCAAATGTATGAAAGGCTCTTGGTAGAAGGGTGAAAGAGAAAGGCCAACATGGTGTGGTGTGTGTCTGTGATCCCAGGACTTGGGCAGCTGCAGCCTTCACATTCAACCAACTTCCCTCCACCACTTCTGTCATTGCAGTTGCCTATGTTGCCAATCAAATGTTGAGGAGGCTATGACTGAGGAAGCTCTGGGAATGAATAGAGGGAAGACAGAGGGAAGGATTTCAGAGCCATTTTAAAATAATGTGCATTATAAAAACCAAAAGCAGACTGCATCAAGCCAGGCCTAGATTTTTCATTGGATTAGGAAGCTGAACTATGAATTTTCAGGGAGACACAACAATGTCTAAATGAAAACACCATGTACAGTTATAAGGAGAAATGTCTCAGCTGAGGAGAAACCCCCACACAACTGTACCAAGTGCTATCGGGTTTCTAGTATAGATGGTCAAATACTTACTGCTGGAAAGAAAAATCTGATTTTCAGAATTAGCACAACTGTACCAAGTGCTATCGGGTTTCTAGTATAGATGGTCAAATACTGCTGGAAAGAAAAATCTGATTTTCAGAATTAACCTACCAAGAAGAGAGCTTTCCTAATTATGTATCAGGAGATTGTAATCAGATGGCAGATGAATTTAGTGGTTCTGAACACATTCTCTTTATGAAGGCATCCAAAAAACAAAACCCAAATCACCAAGATAGTTGTTCATTTTTAATTTCTTGTGTGAAGAAATGTGAAAAAGACAAAAGGTTGCAGTGAAATGGCTGGCATTTAATATGCTGCAAGTTGAAAACGAGTGGAAAAGAGCATGTCAGACACACATTCATGATTCATAGAAGCATGGTTTCTTCTGATCACTGATTTATTTTCCTCTCTGGTAGAATCAGTACAAGGCGGACTATGCTGACTTCATGAAGGGCATTGGATGGCTCCCCCTGGGCTCCCTGGAAGCTGAGAAAAACAAGAAAGCCATGGAGATTATTAGTGAAAAGAAGTACCGGCAACACCCAGACACTTTGAAGTACTCCACATTGATGGACTCAATGAACATGGTTTTGGCTCAGAATAATGCAAAAATTATGAATGAAGTAAGTCTTGCAGTGCTTTAGTGCTTCATATGCATCAAAGTGAATCCATTACATTTACTCTGTGGACTTTGCCAGCAGGAGACAGCATCCTTGAGGGTTTTCCTTACTTAGAGTAAAAGGTCCTATAGGCTATAAAAAGATAGAAATTATTCTTAACTAGTAGTCCCCAAATATTTAATGAACCATCCACCTCATTGATACAACATATTGAATGGTACCCTTTTGTTGTTGTTTGGTTTTGAGATAGAGTCTCATGTCGCCTCATTAACATTCAGCAGCTGTAGAAAATTGACAGTTCTAAAATTTGAGGATGGCCTCAAATTTTCCATGTAACCATGGATGATGTTGAATTGCTGACCCTCCTGTTTCTATGTCCCAAATGCTGTAATTACAGTATGGATCAGCACACCTGGTTTATGCAGAACTAGAGATCAAACCCAGGGCATGCTAGGGACTCCATTGAGCTACATCCTGGAATCCTTTCTTTGACTATGCAATGTGAGCATGAGTCCTGCCTATCTCAGGTGAGGCTGTGCTGCTGAGCTAGCAGAGTGTCTGTCAAGAGTGGGAGCTGTAGCCACACTCCCACCATTCTAACATCATCACAGAGAAACCCATCCCAGGGCTGCAGCTTTGCAACCAGGACTTCCTCTGGGCCATCCTGATAGTAATTGTCCCATTTCGTTGTTTCCTTGTGTCATTAAGTATTTAGAAAAGCCTTAATGGTTTGTTTTGCTATACAATGTTTTGCTATCCATGAAGTGGTATCAAGACCTTCAGGCATATCAACAGTGGGCATTCATTTTTAAAGATACACACACACCACCAACAACAAGTTGTTGTTTTTGGTGGTGGTTGTGGTGGTGGTGTGCGTGAGTGCGCGTTGCATTAGCCCTAGCTATATCATCTTGCATTAGCCCTAGCTATATCATCTTTGATGAGGTAAAAAGTCATTTGGACCTTAGCACTCAGCAGCTGTAGAAAATGACAGTTCTAATTGAGCTGGACAGACAGCTGAACTCTGAGCGTGTCTCCCCTGGAGGCAGGTTTGTGCAGCTGATCCACTGCTTTGAAAGGGACCCTCCCCAAAAGACAAAGCATGGATCTCAGGGTCCCTTTTCATTATTTAGCACCTAAACTGTCACAAAGATGCATTATCCTTTAAAATAGTATTTTAAAGGATACTGAAAGTATCCTTTAAATGATACTGAAATAATGAAATGAAATGATACTTAAAATAATGAGATACTTTCAGTCTGGTAGCATCCAAGAGTCTAAGACAGGAGGATTTGGAGCCTGATGCTCAGCCTGGTCTACACAGCATGATCCTGTTTTAAAAGCCAAAACCAAAGAAATAAACATTAGATTCTTTCTCTCCCCCCACCCAACATTAGTGGTAAAAATGTCAGAACAATGATATCAAGGTGAGGATCATAAATTAATGAAGAGAGAACTTACTGATTATCAAGTTCAGTTTCCCCAAGAGGCAGGGTTCCTCCAGCAGGACGCACAGTTAATCAGCAGCTGACCTGGATAAGAAAGGGATTCTAGTGACTAGCCACTGCCTTCCCACTAGAGCTCCACCATCCCTATAACAAGCCCAAGCCGCAAGCGTGTAGTGTGTTACAGCACAATTTAATAACAATTGCTTTCTCTTTAACACTGTCATGTGAATATTCAGGTACTTAGTGGCCCTATCGAGCTTGGGGCTACCATATTGGTTCGTGCAAAAAACGTTTTCTTCATCACAGAAAATTCTACTTGGTAACACTAGGCTAAAACAAAGACCAGCCACAGACAGCATGCCATTGGCAGAGCTGTGCCATTCACAGTATCTATGAGCAAGTTTATATTGATGCAAACTTTTAGTGAATTTTTTTCATTGTGAAAAAAAATGAACATGTTTCTTATCCTACTGAAATCTCCATGTGTGTGGAGATACACACATGTGTTTCTTGTAAGTTGGAGTTTCTAAAATGAGATGCCAATAAGGAATTTCAGGCTTGCAGTATTTTTTTTAAGGATAGTACCTTAAAAATCTATAGGAGAAAGGTCTGGTCAGAGGGATAAATTGAACTGTAACGCAGATTCAACAGAGCCTTGGCCAATGACCTAGAGCAGATGACCAAGTATCCAGCTGCCAAGATCTGGCTCTTTCTGGACCAGAATCCTGAGTGGTGCATGCCCACGAATTGTTACTGCAGTAGGAACAAACTGGAAACTTCAAATTAATGTCTATCAATGGAGAACTGCTTAAATCTGTTGGATTGTGCCCCTGCAGCTTCCTAGATAGACTGACTTCTTTTCAGAAGGTTCCAAGATGTCTAACTCATATTTTGAAGTAAAAAAAAAAAGCAAGCTGTAGAACACTACGTCTTATGATTTCACTTTTACAGGATGCTTAGAAAGCTCTAGGCGGGAGAGTCCACCTCTAGGCTTAAGATGAAGGGATGGGTGGGACACTTTGATTTTTTTTTTGTCTTTCACTTTCTATCATGTTATTTTTCACGTAGAAAGACACACAAAATACTGACACCTGTATATACATGATAATGTGCATAGTGAGACCATTTTAGGAGTTTTAAATTCTACCTTCCATTTTTCCCCCAGCATCTGTATAAGCAAGCCTGGGAAGCTGACAAGACCAAAGTCCACATTATGCCTGATATCCCTGAGATTGTTCTGGCAAAAGCAAATGCAATTAACATGAGTGATGTAAGTATACTCCCCCTGTTGCTATCTTTCCTTCTTCCCACAAGCAATAGAAAATTAACTCACTGATGTCTCTTAATTTATGAAATGGAACATTTAAAAACTAATAGACTATTGCATTTTATTAAAGATAAATTAGCATCTTTCCTTCTCTAATCTTTGCTCTGATAAAATTTGGAGCAGGGCTGTTAATAGAGGCTGGGACAGCAGTTAGGCTTTGAAGAACTATTGGGTTTCATTTCGGGACAGTCCCTCCTTGAGCTAAGAGACCTGGCAGGAAAAGAAAAATGCCAGAAGAGAACCTCAACCTTTAGAAACCCTACACCAAGCTGTGGAGATGATACTAAAAGGGGTCAAGACAATAGAAAGAAAGAAAAAAATGAATGTTTTGAATAAGCTGGGACAAATCCTACAATAAAGAATGTGAAACTTTCCTTAGAAAATGCATTTAATGTTTAACTTCGTTTCCTTCTCTTTCTGTAGCTGGTTTCTGAGACTCCTCCAATATGAGCAGTGTTTTTCCTTCTCTGTGTTTGAATTCCACAGAGTTTTGGAATTGCTGATTTTTTTTTAAATTTGACTGTGGAATTCACACAACTATTAATATGAGTAATAGAGACCATTGTAAAACTAGGATTCTCTTTTAGCATGTGAAGATGGCTGGTTTGCAGTCCTTTGCCTCTTATTTGATCAAAGTAAACAAGTAGAAGTCTGCTGGGTGCAGACTTCATCTTCACAGTATATTTTCAGCCTCACAGTGATCAGGACCTTTCCTTTTGTAATGATATATTGAAAGCACATTTGAGCTCAAATAATTGTTTTATTTTGTTTTCTTCTGCCACACATTATGATGTTTCTTAGAACATGCAACCATTGAACCACCAATAACATACCTGCCAGACAGAAAATCTTGCTATACAACTAGTCTTCTAGAATAAAGCCAGGGTTTCCTGTTGCCTTTCTTCTCTTTACAGAAACTCTACAAACTGTCTCTGGAAGAGTCTAAAAAGAAAGGCTATGACCTCAGAACGGATGCAATTCCTATCCAAGCTGCCAAAGCATCGAGGGATATTGCAAGTGATGTAAGTGTGAAGGGTGGCCAGCAACCAAGCAGAACAACACTGCCACAAACACAGAGTGAATGAAAGTCAAACATAATCCAGCAGTAGCCTCTCTGTGCTCCACCAATGCCCCTTGACAATGCTTGCATTGTCTCTGGCATTTCTGGGAAAACCTACAAATAGATGCAACAGAATGCGAATCATGCTAGCGCCCTCACAGATCTCAGCTCCACCTCATGAGGTCTACATGAACTCTGTGCTTCTTGGCCCCTGTATTCCCAGCAGGATGCTTCGTGTAGTGTAATTGGGGTTTCGATCGTTGATGCTGATGATGGCTGCTCTTTCAATAACAAGGAACCCTGCAATCTAGTTGTTAAACAATTAGCAGCTTGGCATCAGCTGTGGTGGGTGGGTGAACTCATGCCACAGAGATGTATGAACCCTATGAATTAGGACTCCCCACAGCCTGAGAAAGCCCTGCAATCTAGTTGTTAAACAATTAGCAGCTTGGCATCAGCTGTGGTGAGTGAGTGAACTCATGCCACAGAGATGTATGAACCCTATGAATTAGGGCTCCCCACAGCCTGAGAAAACTGGTGTACCAGCACAACACTGTCATAGGAAACTTGATCTGTGCCCCAAAAATCTGCTCTCAGAAGTGTTTGATGGCATGGAGTGATGAGGTGCACTAGGCAAAGCATTCCGTGTTGTTCCAGGCTGTCCTCTCTCCTTTCCCCTCCCATCCTGCATCCTCTCTTCCTGTAGAGCACTTCTGGCTCCCTCCCATTACTGAGAACCCCTAGTTCTTGCCACCAGCGTCATATGTCTTTCCTGGCTCCTCCCCTATAACCGTCACATTCAACCTCATGAAGAGAGGCAGACTGAGAAGCGGGGTGTCATTCACTCTCTCTCCCCTATGAAAGCTGGGTGGAAATAGCAACACTTCTTAGTTTTGTCAGCTTGGAGAGAAAAAAAAGTCCTCAGGTATATGAATCTGCTCTAAAAATTATGCTTTGTGTCCCATACATGAACCTGTTTTTCAGCAGCAGATGACTGGCTGGTTTATTTCCCTGGCAGCAGTGGGCTGCTTACACGGGGCTTGCTTTTTCTTTCATGTGCTGTGATCTTCCTGTAACTGCAGTGTGAGAACAAGTCAGTGTAGTACAGGACAGTGCCCACTCCAGTCCTCAGTCACCCCAGGGAGTCACTGTGTGTCATCTCATATAAAACGGGGGCTGTGGTAAGAACTCTGCTGCCAGGCTCCTAAGCAAATGTCAAAAAGGTGTCTTGTCAACATGGAGCCATATGGAACTACCAGTTTTATGAACTACGGAATAGTGACAATAGGATTGCTCTTCACATCAATTCATATTTTCTTTGCAGTATAAATACAAACACAATTATGAAAAGGAAAAGGGGAAAATGGTTGGTTTTCGAAGTCTGGAGGATGATCCCAAATTAGTCCATTCCATGCAAGTGGCTAAGATGCAGTCTGACCGAGAGTACAAGAAGAACTATGAGAAGACGAAGACCAGCTACCACACTCCTGCTGACATGCTGAGCGTCACAGCTGCCAAGGACGCCCAAGCTAACATCACCAACACTAACTATAAGCGCCTCATTCACAAGTACATCCTTCTCCCAGATGCGATGAACATCGAGCTGACCAGGAATATGAATCACATCCAGAGTGACGTAAGAGAACCTTCTAGCTGAGGGCGGCTGGGTCCCCAGCATAGACAGAGACATTCCAGTCCTGCATACTGTAGTTTTGTGTCTTAACTGAAGAGGTGAAGTCAAGTTTGTCTCTTATCTTTATAGAATCAATATAAGCAAGACTACAATGAGTGGTACAAAGGGCTTGGCTGGAGCCCAGCTGGTTCCCTAGAGGTGGAGAAGGCCAAGAAAGCAACTGAGTATGCCAGTGACCAGAAGTACCGCCAGCATCCTAGCAGCTTCCAGTTCAAAAAGCTGACTGACTCCATGGACATGGTGCTGGCGAAGCAGAATGCTCACACCATGAATAAGGTACAGAGAGCAGTGCTCTGCCTTCCTCCCAGTCAAGAAGAGGTCAACAGGCCATGGCCCTTACTTAGGGAGTTGAACTCAGGTCCCACCTTTCTAGGGCACAGCAAACAGTTACAGAGAATTGCCCCGTACTGTGTTTCAATGTCCATCTCTTGCAGTGCTTTCCCTTATCATTCTAATTGCGTTAGAAATTGCTTAGATTTTTTAAATACATATATCCTAAGTACTTTCATTCCATTCTAAAGATGGAAAAGGTGTAAAGTATTATTTTTCCAAATCTGACATGAAAGCCAGGTGTGACAGCACATCATGTAACCCTAGCAGTTGGAAAGCTTAGGATCGATCTCTCTCTCTCTCTCTCTCTCTCTCTCTCTCTCTCTCTCTCTCTCTCTCTCTCTCTGTGTGTGTGTGTGTGTGTGTGTGTGTGTGTGAGTGAGTGTGTGTGTGTAGAGATAGATAGATAGTGGTTGGATAGATTTACAGCTAGATACAAAACATACATTTGATATATATACATGTACATGTACATATCAAGTCTGTTTTTAGAAAAAAAATATGAATTTGTTCTTAATGTTTCTTCCGAATCCTATTTTTCCTTAATGTTTTCTAGTTCAAACTAAGTGCATCTGAATATTCTGTTTATCTTCTTTCCTATTTATCCTTAACCATTATTCAGACTTAAAATATCTCTTCTGTGTGTGTGTGTGTGTGTGTGTGTGTGTGTGTGTGTGTAAAGATAGATAGATAGTGGATGGATAGATTTACAGCTAGATACAAAACATACATTTGATATATATACATATACATGTACATATCAAGTCTGTTTTTAGAAAAAAATATGAATTTGTTCTTAATGTCTCTTCGGAATCCTATTTTTCCTTAATGTTTTCTAGTTCAAACTAAGTGCATCTGAATATTCTGTTTATCTTCTTTCCTATTTATCCTTC